CCCCCCTTACCCTAAACCCTCAACCCTAAACCCTAAACCCTAAGCCCTCAACCCTAAACCCTAAACCCTGAGCCCCCCTAAACCCTAAACCCTGACCTAACACCCCAGGAGCTGGAGCCCAACTGGAAGATGATGATGTTCGAGCGCCTTGGGGCACCTGGCGAGGAGAGCTCCAACGGCTTCAACAACGCAGGTGCCTTGAAGGGTTTAGGGTTTTGGGTTTTGGGTTTATGGTTTAGGGTTTAGGGTGTAGGGGGGGCTAACAGGGTAGGGGTTTGAAGGGTTTAGGGTTTAGGGCTTTAGGGTCTTTGGGTTTGGGGCTTTAGATTTACGGGTTTAGGGCTTAGGGTTTGAAGGGTTTACGGCCGGTAGGAGTTCATATGTTTACGGTCTAGGGTGTACGGGGTGTGCGGGATGTATGTGGATTAGGGTTTAGGGGTGTAACAGGGTTTAATGAATTTGCCCTAAACCCTAAACCCTAAACCCTAAACCCTAAACCCTAAACCTGAGGTCTCAGGGTTTGTTGAAGGTGCCTGGTTGTAAGCGGGCTGAGGAGATTGAGGCTGTGAGAGTGTCAAGGCAGCGTTGCACCGTTGACATGGTAGTCACGGTATCATCTGGGGGTTTCCGAAAATAACCCTAATATACTGCCCCAAAATAGTAGGATCCTGATTATAAGGACCCCAAAATAAGGTACCCTAATTTTCGGAAACTCCCATTTATTCTACTGGGAGCCTAATGTGCCTGCACACTATGGTGCAACGCAGTGCAGCGAGGGCAGGCGAGCATTCCATGGAAGTATCATGTCTTTACGGGCTTCTTAAGCCTAGCAGGGTTTAGGGCTTAAGATCATAAAATCTGAAATCTCTCGAAACCCAGAGCCCTAAACCCTACACCCGACTGAAGCCCTACGTTTGGAATCTCGTGTTCTCTTCCTCGACTCGATGCCTAATAATACAGGGGCCTGAATAATTAGAATAGGGCATATCATACCATAATTATAATAAGGAACCCCCAAAACCCTGTTCTAATTCAATTACCTATACTATGTTAGGGGGGTGCCTCACTATAATTTCAGTATAACATACCCGAATTCTATTCGAATTATTAAGGCCCCTGCATAGAAGCCTAAATAACTACCAATATCCTTATTAAAAACAAGACTATATCCAAAAAAAGCCTATTCTAATTATTAAGGCCCCTACATTACCCCTTAAACCCCTAAACCCTAAACCCTAAACCCCTTAAACCCCTTAAACCCCTAAACCCCAAACCCTAAATACCCTCAAGGATAGCATCTGTGATTGGCAGGTACCGGTCATGCCGGCTTCATGGAGCGCTTGCCTCAATGACCCACTGGGAGGATTTAGGGTTTAAGGGTTTAGGGGTTTCGGGTTGAGGGGTTTAGGGTTTAGGGTTTAGGGGTTCTGGCGATGAAAGCTTCGAATCTGCTCGGACAGCGCAGTCGGATTTAGGGTTTAGGGTGTTGGGTTTAGGGTTTAGGGTTTGGGGTTTAGGGCTTGAGGGTTTTAGGGTTTAGGGTGTAGGATTTCGGGTTTTGGGTTTAGGTTAACCCTCTCCTGAGCACAGGCTGCCAAAGTCTATGCCGTCTGCATGCTTGACCCTAAGCCTTGAACCCCTTGAGCAAGGATGTTGAATCCTAGAATGTCCTGTTTTTGCATGATCTTTATCAATGCTGTACGCTATGTCTCAAGCCCCTGTACCATGTCATATAGTAGCCACCATAAACCCCAAAAGACCCACTCACTCACTCACTCACTCACTCACTCACTCACTCCCTTCCTCCCTCCCTCCCTCGCTCCCTCCCTCCCTCCCTCCCTCACCCACTCGCACTTCGGACAGATGTCCGGAGCGCCGCATGCAGACCCCCAAAAGACTCGATCCGCTATGAACTGAGCAGGGAAAGACTAGAAAGCGGCAAATGGCAAAACACAGGCGAGCAGTCCCTAAACCCTAAACCCTAACCCAGAAAGCCTTAAATCCTGAACCCCTAAGGCCCGCTATGCCAAGTCCCCCAGTGGTGACCCTAAGCAAACCCGAACCGTAGACCGTAAGCTAAACCCTAAACCCTAAGCCCTAAACCCTATAAGAATAGCTCCCTTGAGCAAGTTGGAAACTCGTCGTTCTCATGCTTTGAGCTTTCCGGCTTTTGGGCGTTCACTGCAGGCAGTATCGCAGACCTCTGCCTAGCAAGTCCGGTGATGTAGGAATACGGAGTTCGTGTTTGCAAGTGCTAAGGAAATGGAAATGATGGGCAGGTTTAAGACTTTAAGATTTTGGGCTCACCGATGTAGGCATTTTCGTTCAACGTTCTGAATTGCAGTGTGGGGTCTAGGACTAGCAGGCTACCCTACAGGCAAAGCCACGACAAGAGGCACAAAGCCCTCAAGCAACAATTCTGGACGCCAAGGCCAAATTACACCAAGGAAGTGAAGAATCCGGATGGCTCACTGAAGACAGTGACGACCGACAAGGTTGAGTCTCTTGCTAGCAGTGGGTTTGGGGTCTATGGGGTTTAGGTTTAGATTATCCACTGTTTAGGTTCAGGGCGTCCGAATTGAACAAGTCATGCTACATCCGAGCAAACCTGCGAGTCTCCGCGATGGATGGAGAGTGAGGGTTTAGGGTTTAGGATTTAGGGTTTAGGGGTTTAGGGGTTTAGGGTTTAGGGGTTTAGGGGTTCAGGGTTTAGGGTTTGTGGCGAGTCTACCGATATTGTCAGTCCTTGCCTGCTGATTCTGCGGGGTGCTACTCTGTTCCGTAGCCAGGTCACAACTTGAAATGGTTGCAGTCTTGTTCGAAAGAATCGTATGGGCAGTAAGTCTAGGACATTTTCAGGTGTGTAGTTACCTATAGAAGGTCTGTATACCTTATTATAGAAGCCTTATAGAAGCCCTATATGCCCTAAACTCCCCACCTGTAGTTTCCTTTCAGTAAGAATAGTGACCCTAAACCCTATCACTTCATCCTGAGCCTCTTGGCGAAAAGCCGCTGTCCGAAGCCACCGTCGGCCGTGAGAGGTCTCGACAAGGGTAGTTCTCTGGATGAGGTTCCTTTTAGGGTCCTTTGTACAAGGGTGCCGTACTATTTTGTGGACCTATTTCGGGACCCTACTTTAGAGAACTACCCACATCCTCTCGGCTGGACCTCAGAGGAACCCTACCCAAAGCCAGAGAGCCTCAGGACCTTAAGGCCCTGTAGTGCCCAAAAACTGCCAAATTCGAAACCCCTGAGCCCGCAAGCTAAAGCCTTTAAAGTTTATGCGAAATCCCCACCCTGAGCCCTCAAGCCTAACATCTAAAGGCTCTGTGCCTTAAACTCTCCACCCAAAGCCTAAACCCCAACCAAGGCACGTGTGCGAGCAGTTCCTCTCCAGTCGCCAGTACTGGGAGTATCTCACGCGAACTGGGAAGCTTCCTAAGCCGGACCTTGGCACATGCCTGCTTTTTTCCCGGATTTTGGGGGCTGGGAACCCTCGACCTAAACCCTGAACCCTGCTTTTCTCGGGTTTGGGGTTGGGAACCCTTAACCTAAATCCTAAACCCTGAAAGCTGTTTTTTGGGGGTTTTGGGGCTTGGGGAGTTAATGCTTGCTTTTTGTTTGGGGGCTTGGGGTCGGGAGTTTGGGGGTTCAGGGTGTCAGTAGGGTTTACCCATATGCCCTAAAGTGGTTTTGTTTGGGGGTTCATATATAGAATCCTACAAGGTAAACCACCAAAAGGAACTACTATGGGGCCTATGGGTAGGGGCCTATGGGCCAGAATTAACTGAGTTGCGGGTTTGGGTTTAGGGTTCAGGGTTTAAGGTTGAGGGTTTAGGGCGGGGTTGGGTTGAGGGACTCGTGAAGTGTGGGCTGTGGTTCGGACTTCAACTCAGACTTCGGGCAGACGACGGACACCGAAAAGGCCCTGGAGATAGGTAGAGGGATGCACCGTCGCTTAGGGTTTAGGGTTTAGGGTTTAGGATTCAGGGTTTAGGGTTTAGGATTTCAGATAAGATCCTGCCGAAATGACGAAGATGAGCCCTAAACCCCAAACCCGAAGCAGAGTTCACTGCCTCAGCTGCAGCCCATGCAACCGCCAGTTCTTCAAACCCAAGCCCTAAAGCCGAGAGCCCCTTTGAGTGCGTTGAGCTTCCTTTTAAAGCTTAGCCCCCTGTTAAGAGATCTCTTAGGATTTAGGGTTTGTCGTGCTGCTTGCTCTAAAGATGGTCATGGTATACATGGAGTACGCTCACCCTAAAGCTGAGCCCCAAACCTTAAAACCCAAACCCGGAACAGTAAACCCTAAGCCCTAAACCCCCAAAGCCCCAAACCCTAAACTCCCACACCTCATGCTCTAAGCCCTAAGTAACTTCAACCCCCTTGCAAAGCGCAGGATGCGTGGATCCACCAGACGAACCACATTGCGCTGGGAGTTGGCAAGGACGAAAAAGCTTGTAGGTCTAGGACATTTTCAGGTGGGGAGTTTAGGGTATATAGGGCTTCTATAAGGCTTCTCTAAGGCATATAGGCCTTCTATAAGGCTCCTATAACGGTAACTACCCACCTGAACATGTCCTAGTGTAGGGGCTGCTGAAGTTCCAGGGCGCTACCGAGGCTCGGAACAAGTAGTAGTCGTATTGCAGTCTAAGTAACATAGCGGCCTAAATAATTAGCTATACTAATTTTTGTTTTTAAATATAAGTTGTATAATAACTTCCTTATTATAACTATAGTATAATCCACCCCAACACCCCTAAACCCTAATTATCAGGGCCCCGCCATTATTCAGGCCTATTGTGTTTGGGCTTAGGGGCTCGGGTTTCGAGCTCAGGCTTGCTTTAAAGCTCCGACCTGCCATGCTATAAGCCGCCCAGCTTTGAAACCCTAAACCCTAAACCCTCCCGGACTCTAAACCGTAAACCCTAAGAGGCTCCTCATGTTCATAGAGTCTAGGACATGTTCAGGTGGGTAGTTACCGTTATAGGAGCCTTATAGAAGGTCTATATACCTTATGGAAGCCTTATAGAAGCCCTATAGACCCTCAACTCCCCACTTGTAGTTTCCTTTACTAGAGGGGCCTTAACATTTAGGATCAGGCTTAGGGTATATTATGGGTTTAGGGTTTAGGGTTTAGGGTTTTCACTATGCTAAGGACCCCCCCAAACCTCATTCTAATGATTAAGGCCCCTACGTTGAGTTGAATGGAGCCTCTGGCCCATCGGAGAGATTCAAAGTCCCCATGGCTTCTCGCACAAGGGCATTCCGGCAACAGCCGCTTCTTCGACGACTGAGAGGAGGAAGAGAGGAGGAAGAAGCCGAGTGGTAGCAAGCATCTGTGGAGAGGCAGCCAGTGGGTTCGCATCGCTCAATATCTAATATAGGTGCCCTGAATAATGTCCAATTAATTTGGAATTTGGGGGTTTCCTTACTATAATTAAAGTATAATATACCTCAAAACCCTATTCTAATTATTACGGCCCCTACGTTACAGGGGCCTGGCGTCCCTGATCGGCTGCGACTCGGAGCACAAGAAGACGAACGACGAGAAGAGCCTTCAACAGAAAGCCCTCAGATACACGTGGGTAGTTCTCTAAATTAGGATCCTTGTTTATAGGGGTGGCGTACTATTTTGGGGACATCCTAAACCCTAAACCCTGAACCCTAATTTAGAGAATTACCCACATGGAAGAGGGCCTGGAATGCCGAAGGGGTTTGGGGCTTTGCGGTTTCGATAGATAGAAGCTCGGAAGTTGGAGGGCTTGGAGTTTATTTAGGGTTTAGGGGCTTTGGGGGCTTTGGGGGCTTTGGGGTTTAGGGTTCAGGATTTAGGGTTTAGCGGCTTTGGGGTTTAGGGTTTAGGGTTTAGGGTTTAGGGGCTTTGGGGTTTAGGGTTTAGGGTTTAGGGTTTAGGGGCTTTGGGGGTTAGGGGTT